GTAAAAAAATGTACAATTTTTTTTTTGTCATTTTCAAAAAATTTGTGGCAACAATAAAATGTTCCATAGACTTATCATGCCTCTCAGCAAATTCCTTGGGGTGTCTACTTTACAAAAAGGGGTCATTTGGGAGGGTTTTGTACTGCCTGGCATTTTAGCACCTCAAGAAATGTGATAGGCGGTCAGAAACTAAAAAGCTGCATAAATTCCAATATGCTGTATATACTGTCGTTTGTAGATGCTATAGCTTTCACATAAACCAATTAATATACACTTATTGGGATTTTTTATACCAAAGACATGTAGCAGAATATATTTTGGCCTAAATTTATGGCTAACTTTGAGTTTACTGGATATTTTTAATAAACAAAAGTAAAAAATATAGTTTTTTTTTTTTCTCCAAAATGTTAGTTTTTTTTTTCGTTTATATCACAAAAAAATAAAAAACCCATTGGTGATCAAATACCACCAAAAGAAAGCTCTGTTTGTGTGAAAAAAGGACATAAATGTAATTTGGGTACAGCATTGCATGACTGCACAATTACCAGGTGAAATAGCACAGTGGTTAACAATGTTACTTTTAGTAACAACATGAAAACATATTTATTTAATGCAAAAGCAATGATAAAAGGCAGAGCCCAGAAACCAGTAGCATGCAATTATACTGCACTTCAGCCAGATATGTAATTTTTGAATATTGCAATTCACCCTTGATTCACACCATTTTTTTATTTGCCCATTAATTTGAATGGGCTGCCATGCCTCACAAAATGCAACAAAAAGATCCCTGCACCTCTCCAGAAATCGCAACTGCCCCCGCCGCCCCCCTTCCTCTGACCTGTAGCAGGCAATTATACTGTACTTCAGCCAGATACTTGATTTTTGAATATTGCAATTCACCCTTGGTTCACACTAGTGCTATTATTTTTTTCTTTGCACATTAATTTGAATGGGCTGTCATGCCTTGCAAAACATAGGAAAAAGTTCCTTGCACCTCTCCAGAAATCGCAGCCACGCCCATCGCCCCCCTCCCTTCCCTCTGACAAATAGTACGGGGAGAAGTCTACCTGTACTATTTGTCAGATTTGAAAACAGCGTGGCCATGGGGGGCTCCGCCCACACGGCCGCGTTACTCGCTCACAGAGTTCTGATACAAGAAGGTTGTTTTTGGAGATGGTGGGGTTGGAGTTGGTGAGTACTGCTTTGAGTTTCAAGGCTTCAATCTAAGAAGGACAGGCAGCCTATGCCTTTGCAGCATCTTTCCCAGCTGTCAAAATTATCACGCAGTTTGCACTGCTGCCCCTGCCCATGTTGCTTTAATTGGACAGAGAAGGCCTTACAAGGAAAAAAAAATGATAGAAAATAATAAAAAAATAATAGAAAAAAAAGAAATCTCTAAATAATTTTCAACAAAAGTAAAAATACATAATACAAATTGCCATTGTAGGTAGATGTATGTTAATGTGGGACCAGAAAACTGGAGGAAGAGGGCGGTTTTCACTAGCTTTTTACCATGTAGGATTCAGGAGCACTTATTTTAATGTGGGACTGCCTATGCCAGGAATTTTCAAAATATGGGAGGAATTACAGTAAATGTTTTAAGTGAATGATACCATCTATTTAGCCATGCAGTGTGTGCTCTAGGAAGAACACAAGAGGGATCATGTCACTAATCCTTGATCCATTGCAGCTCACAATTTTAGTTGCCTCTTCAAAGGGGGCCACAATGGCACAGGTGTCCTAGATGATGAGCAGTAGGGTGATGATGGTGTGGGAAAAAAAAAGAGTGAAAAAGAGGAAACGTACAGGGAGGAGGGGGTAAAAAAGGGAAGGGAGGATGATGGTGTGAGATGGGGAAAAAGCTTTCATTGTTTGAACACTGATTGAAGTAAATTAAAAACATTCTGACTGACATTCTGCAGTTTAGCCACAAGATGTCGCTGTTTTGTTCTAACACAGACTCAGACTGCATAGAGATTTCTTTATTCATGAAGGGGTGGGGTTTTTACACTTGGAGAGTGAACAGGAAAAGGAAAGGAGAGCAGCCATGCTTGAGAGAGAGAAGGGGGGCTGTGTGATCGGAGAATCCGTTGCCATCCAGCTGTGAAGACTGCCCTTCGTAATCAGAAATCCCATTGAGTGAAGCTGATGGTGTTCAAAACGCTAATCCTGTCCAAAGAGGGGAAGATTTGCTGCCAGGAAGCTGATGAGGGCAGAGGAGCAAAGCAACATACATTGCTGATAACATCGCATGAGTAGTGGAGAGACATTTGTTCTGTTCAGAGTCATCAGCGGCTGAAATACAGACCCGGGTCGGTAAGAATTGTGCACGCACCTCCTTTCAGTGTTTGTGCCTAGAGAATGAGTCAAGGCCTACAGTTAGTTAGTTAGGGTCTCTGTTTGTGTCAGGCCACAAGTGTTATTGCTGATCATTGGAAGGACTCCACAACTTAAAGTGACATTTCACATTGGAGAACTGATAAAATCCTACAAACTCAAGCCAGACTGGCGTTTTGCTCAGAAGGAATACTCAGGCACGTGCTATAGGATCAGTTACGGGAGAGGGAATACTGTAGATTTGTGTAAGATTGTAAGCTGTTGTGCTGCACCACAGGCTAGCCCATACCATACACCCATACACTGATTCCTGCTCTTTTAGGGTAATAACATGTAAGGTGTGGCAGCTTAGTTGTGCCCGCCAGTAGGTAAATTACCTCACTTTCTACCTTCATCCATCAGAAGGTGCCGTGCTGTACAGCACAAGGGTCTCAGCCTTTGGGCTGGGTGTATGTAAATATATTGTATATTCCAGCATTTGTGGTTGTGTTTATTTGCCACATCTAAGTAAAAATTCTGTTGTGGCAAAAGCTGGTGTTGGGATTACTTTCCTAGTTCGTGACTTCACTGTATCCTGGGGAGCCCACCCTGGTACACAGGTTACAATGGAGTGAAGGAGGAAGGAGAAAAGCAGAATCAAGAGGAGGAGCAAAGCAGAGGTAAAGTAGGGAAGGGAGAGTAAGAGATAACATGCAATGCTTTGCAGTCACTACCTTCATGTGGCAGCACTTCTACCTCTCCTTTTATGCTTGCCTGTTTTTATTTTCCTTTTTGGGATGGAAAGTGGTGCAGTGTATGGCTGTAAAATTTTACATTTTTGCCGTTGCCTGCTCTTCTTCCTGGCTGTAGACTTTCTCCCCTCTATTTTCTGCCGCCTGCCTTTCCCCCTTAGTTGCGGAATGGTGGGCGGCCTATGGCCATAGGCATCATCCCTTCTGGTATGCATCCAGTACCCTGACTAATTCATCAATGCCAAAAAATATAGAAAATGTAAATCAAATACACAAGCAAATATAAAAATAACATAGGTATAACAGAAAAAAAAAAATGAAATTGCAGCTGGAAATGTACAACTCTGGGGCAACCCAGGACAAGGAATAAAATGATATTATATGACAGGAGTTGCAATAAAAAGAGCTTTGACAAACTGGGGCTCACACTACCTGGAGATCAGGAAGGATTTTTCCATGTAAGAAGTCCATGCTTTAAAAGAGATTCATGGTATTTACATGGTATCTACGTAAGATGTCTGTATTTGAGCTCGTTTTGAAAGGTACTTGTAAATGTTAATGAAGAAGAGAACTGAAATAGTGAAGATTTGCTATGTTATAGTGAACATTTAAAAATGTTAATTCTACCTAAGCAGTACCCTAAAAATCTATTTTTGCAACAGCATTTTTTTTTTTGTACTAATATAGGCAGTTATACAAATATATTTAACATTTTTTTTTGATTTTCATTATAGATCAAATAACTGCTTTAAATCTGTGGTTCTGTGAGATCTGTGACGTCTTCACCATAATAGCAATAAGCACTTTAGTTCTCTGTGCTCATCTACCATGTTCTCAACATGGTTAGTCTTGTTCTTATAGATCTATCAGAATATCAATTTATAGACCTGTCCAATTAGCCTTGTATCTAATTTACATTATATCTTCTATGATGTTTAAAGGAATATTGAGGGTGATTTGATGTTCCCCAGTTGCTGTCAGCCATAAGATTGATATTTGACCACCCTTGCTCTTCTTGATGGTCCATGCCGTTGAGGCCTTGGAATATGCAGTCTCATCCTGGACACCATTATTTTATAATTGCTCTGATTAATGCCTGTTTAATCCTTTTGGAAGTATTATTATGGCAATTATCTCAATGTCATTTTCCTACTATCCATTTGTACATTATCATTTACCTCTATATGTCTATTTAGAAATTCCTCTTGTATCCATGCCCCCTAAAGAAGATAAAAAAATGGAATGATCGAAGTTGTATTCTCCCTTTCTTTGGGAGTATTTTTTTCATGTTGTTAAAGTATCTTGTAGTATTGTCAGAGTCAATGTTCTCTAAAACATATGTATCTTTTATAAGTATGTTTATGGAATAAAGCGTGTATCTTTTTTTAACCACTAGCCTACAGGGCACTTATACCCCTTCCTGCCCAGGCCAATTTCCAGCTTTCAGCGCTGTCACACTTTGAATGACAATTGCGCGGTCATGCAACACTGTACACATATGAAATTTTTATCATTTTTTGTGACAGATAGAGCTTTATTTTGGTGGTATTTAATCACCTCTGGGTTTTTTTCTTAAACAAACAAAAACCACTGAAAATTTTGAAAAAAAACGTTTTTTTTCTTAGTTTTTGTTATAAAATTTTGTAAATAAGTGATTTTTCTCCTTCACTGATGTGCGCTAATGAGGCTGTAGTAATAGGAACTGATAGGCTGCACTGATGAACACTGATAGGTGGCACTGATGGGCACTGATGAGGAGGCACTGGTAGGTGGCACTGATGGGCATTGACAGGCATCACTGATGGGCACTGAAAGGCAGCACTGATATATGGCACTGATAGGCAGCACTGATCGGTGGCACTGATAGGCGGCACTGACTGGCACTGATAGGCGGCACTGACTGGCACTGTTAGGTGGCACTGACTGGCACTGTTAGGCAGCAGTAATAGGCAGCACTAATAGGCGGCACTGATGCACACTGATAGGTGGCACTGCCTGGCACTGATAGGCGGCACTGATAGGTGGCACTGATTGGCATTGATAGGTGGCACTGACTGGCACTGATGGGTGACACTGAAAGGCAGTTCAGATGAGCACTGATATGTGGCATTGATGTGCACTGGTAGGCACTGATATGTGGCACTGATGTGGCACTGATGGGCACTGGCAGGTGGCATGGATGAGCACTGAGAGCTGGCACTGATGGACACTGACAGGTGGCACTGCTGGGGCTACACTGATCATCAGGGCACACTGATCATCAGTCTGAGAATCTGGTTAGCCTTTGACTTGCTAACATGGTGGTGGCCAGTCACATTGGTGATTTTTGGATGGAATGAAGAATATTCACCATTGCTTGTTAATTCAAGAAATTGTCTTGCACTCACAAGGATTGTTTTTTTTTGATTGTTCTTCGCATATGTGGACTTTGAGCACTATAGGGTCCCTCAAGGACTGTTGTCACTTGTTTGTTTAGAGCACTTTATTGTGCATTTATTAACATTTCTTGTTCATGTTTGTTCACTCTTAGCGCAACATTGATTTTTATATGTTGATTGAGAGGGGGATATCCTTTGGGTGTGTTTGCAGCTTTGTATTTACTTGGACGTGTGACATTTGCACGGTTTTTTTTATTTATTATTTTTGTTATTTGTAGATATTCCAATTCCTCAGCCTGACCATTAAAAATAGTTTTGGGTTCATAATTTCAGAATATATAAATACCTATATTCATATCCACTTGACCTCCAGAAGATTTTACCCCCTTCATGACCAGGCCATAATTTGCTTTACGGTACAGCACTACTTTAACTGACAATTTATGCAACACTGTATGCAAATGAAATGTATATACTTTTTTTCTACACAAATAGTTTTCTTTTAGTGTTATTTGATCACCTCTGGGTTTTTTTATTTTTTGCACTATAAACGAAAAAAAAGACCGAAACATTTAAAACAAAACTTTTTTTACTTTTTGCAGTAAAGCATATTGATTAAAAAAAAAGAATAACATTGCTTCATATTTCACCATATTGTGTTGCGCTCCTTATTAATTAATATCTCTTTAGATACTTATAATCCCAAAATAAATAATCATGTATTTCCTAGTGATCAAATATACAAAAAATGTTGAAACATGAATATATAACTTTACCCAAAATTCATATATAATAATAGCTTAATATATAAAACATATTATTAATCCATATCCGTGATTATATAATTAATTATAATTAATTGTGCATCATAATTAGTGAAAAATAATAATTAAAAAATTTTTTTGTGAATAAATGCTCATATAAAATTAATTGATTAATTTTGTGCAAAAACAAAGTCCCATTAATCAAAAAAAATATGTATAGTGACTCTGTGCTCTAATTAATCTTCAATCCGTGACTGATTGTGAATCCGTGACTGTGTTGTGAATCCTCCAATTAGTGCAGATGTAAGCTCACCTCCTTATTTGCCTACAATTAGGCTATATGCGCTTTTGGTTCACCTCCTATGGAACCTGCTTGTTTAAGATTTCTCCTCTTTAGATTGTGGAACAGGGATATCCTTTAGCACTGATTATCCCCTCTGGGATTAATCCCTCCTCACGGTGATACAAGCCCCTATACTCTCCTCTCCATGCGTCTCTCCACATGCAGGGAAAAAATGCCAAACATAGTGTTTTATCTACGCCACTGGTTACGTGGCTTCATCAGGGGGTATTGATGAATACCCCCTGATGAAGCCACGTGACCAGTGGCGTAACGCGTAGGGGTGGGGCTGCAACGTCACTCGGAGATAGCCGGATTGTTTGACAGATGGCGGGTGCATGACTCAATGGTCGGCGGAGGATTCGTTACACACTGGGTTGCCTTATATCGATTTTAGTAAATGTGAGTGTACTACTTGGAAGGAATAAAGTAGTGTTTTAAAAGGATAAAACACTATGTTTGGCATTTTTTCCCTGCATGTGGAGAGACGCATGGAGAGGAGAGTATAGGGGCTTGTATCACCGTGAGGAGGGATTAATCCCAGAGGGGATAATCGGTGCTAAAGGATATCCCTGTTCCACAATCTAAAGAGGAGAAATCTGAAACAAGCAGGTTCCAAAGGAGGTGAACCAAAAGCGCATATAGCCTAATTGTAGGCAAATAAGGAGGTGAGCTTACATCTGCACTAATTGAAGGATTCACAACACAGTCACGGATTCACAATCAGTCACGGATTGAAAATTAATTAGAGCACAGAGTCACTATACATATTTTTTTGATTAATGGGACTTTGTTTTTGCACAAAATTAATCAATTAATTTTATATGAGTATTTATTCACAAAAAAAATTTTTAATTATTATTTTTCACTAATTATGATGCACAATTAATTATAATTAATTATATAATCATGGATATGGATTAATAATATGTTTTATATATTAAGCTATTATTATATATGAATTTTGGGTAAAGTTATATATTCATGTTTCAACATTTTTTGTATATTTGATCACTAGGAAATACATGATTATTTATTTTGGGATTATAAGTATCTAAAGAGATATTAATTAATAAGGAGCGCAACACAATATGGTGAAATAATTTATGCACACAGTGGTAGTTATGTGTTGGGTGTTTGCGATCCAGTAATATCAAGGACATATTTTGTCCAGTTTTGTGCTTTAAGGTGGATATTTAGTAGATACAGCTTGGCTCGCAAGATATATAGAGATTTACTTGTGGTAACATTTCTTCATAAATTTAGGTCAAAATGTATTCTGCTACATGTCTTTGACAAAAAAAAAATCCCAATAAATGTGTATTAATTGGTTTTGTGTGAAAATTAGAAAGTTATAGCATCTACAAATTACGGTGTATAAATATATATATATATATATATTTATATGTGTATATATTGGAATTTTTTTTTTTATACTAGTAATGGCTGTGATCACTGACTTATAGTGGTACTGTAATATTGCGTCAGTCTGACATTAATTGACACTTTGTGGGCACTGAATAACTAACACTGACATCACCAACAACACTTATACAGTGCTAATAATATGCATTGTCACTGTACTAATGGCATTGGGTAGGAAGGGGTTAACATCTGGAGCAATCAGAGGGTTAACTGCATGCCTAGCCAGCATTATTGTGTTAATTGTGTGCTGTTTCTACCAAGGGATGTGACGGTTTTCATCCCCTGTTCTGCTTCCTTCTGGGTTCCTGGGCTGCAGGCCGTTTGACTGGCCGAACCACGGTGATGTCACTCCCCGCATGCGCACAGGAGTCTCAGGCCACGGCATGGCTCACTCAATGGACGGCACCCCGTCCATTGACAGTGCAGTGCACATGCACTGGTAACATCATCTACGCGCTGAAGTAAATATCTCCTAAACGGTGCACATGTAGGAGATATTTACAGTATCTACAGGTAAGCCTTATAGGAAAAACATGAAAAAATGACTTTGCTACCACTTAAATGGATGACAAATGATTGTTCCCTAGTGTCTATTTAAGAGTCTATCATCCTATCATTGCAAGCCATATATCTTTAGCAGCTGGCAGTCCCTCAACTGTATGGTGCTGCTGTATAGTGATTTGCCAGGGTTACCAACCTAATTTTTGTACTCTTTACAGAAAAAAAAACCCCCAAAGAATCCTGGTCAGCCAACATTTTAAACTGACACGTTAGTAGGTTATTTACTAAAGCTGGAGAGTGCAAAATCTGGTAGAAATCAATCGGATTCCAGTTTTTATTGACAAAGACTAACTGAACAAGCTGAAGCTAGAAGCTGATTGGCTACCATGCACGCCTTCACCAGATTCTGAGAGCACCAGTTTTAGTAAATCTACCTCAATGTCTGTAAATTTTTAATGTACTGCAGTGGTCAAGTTTTTCCTTTCTGATCCCAAAATACAAACCTGTAATACATTGCAGCTTACCAGTCTCCAGATGTGATGACTGCATTTCTTTTTTCATGTTCTTTTACTTCATTTTTGCCAGGGGATCGTTTCAGCAACACACTTACTGTCCTAGGGTGACAACACTCACTCACTGTATTGTATCTATAGAGGAGCAGCATTTTCGCTCTAGGTTGCTCTCTGATTTGAATTACAAGCGCCTCTCATCTCATTACAAGGAAAGGGGGTATGATTTATAGTTCATAGAAAGGAAGTAGTTAGAACTGATAACACTGTCTAAGGCAGCTCTATACGCAGGAAATGACAATGACACTGGAATTTTGGCGCGGCCAAGTAAGAGTTTTCTATACTTGTAAAAAATGTACTTTGCTTGAAAAGAGAACTAATGCCGCCATCACATCTGAGGACTGGTAAGCTGCAATACAGATGTGCTCAAACGTTTGCATACCCTGGCAGAAATCATGAAATTTTGTCATTGATATTGAAAATATGACTGATCATACCAAAAAACTGTATTTTATTTAGGGGCAGTGATCATATGAAGCCATTCATTATTACATAGTTGTTTGACCTTTTTAAATCATAATTATAACAGAAATCACCCAAATGACCCTGATCAAAAGTTTACATACCCTGAAGTGTTTGGCCTTGGTACAGACATACAAGGTGACACACACAGGTTAAAATGGCAATTAAAGGTTACTTTCCCACATTTGTGACTTTTTAAATTGCAATTAGTGCCTCTGTATAAATAGTTAATGAGTTTGTTAGCTCTAATGTGGATGCACTAAGCAGGCTAGATACTGAGCCATGGGGAGCAGAAAAGAACTGCCAAAATACCTGTGTAACAAGGTAATGGAACTTTATAAAGACAGAAAAAGATAGAAAAAGCCTTGAATATGCCAGTCAGTACTTTTCAATCACATATTAAGAAGTAGGAAATTCGAGGATCTCTTGATAGCAAGCCAAGTCAGGTAGACTAAGAAAGATGCAGCGATAACTGTCAGAGGAATTGCTGGGGATACAAAGAAAAACTCACAGGTAACCTCAGGAGAAATACAGGCTTCTCTGGAAAAAGGCGATGTAGTTGTTTCAAGGAGCATGATAAGATGGCACCTGAACAAAAATTAGCTGCATGATCAAGTTGCCTGAAAGAAGTTTTTACTGCGCCAATGCCACAAAAAATTCCAGTTACAATATGCCCAACAGCACCTTGACACACCTTACAGCTTCTTGTACATTGTAATTTGGAGTGACAAGACCAAAATAGAGCTTTATGGTCACAACCATAAGTCCTGTGTTTGGAGAGGGATCAACAAAGCCTATAGCCACAAGAATACCATCCCC